GTATAGCGTCTTTGCGACATGGGGGCACACTACATGGCGAGCAGAAAGTCCTCTCGTGTGGTTTGGCGGTAGGGAAAGAAGGGGAGACCCTCGAACCCACCCCCAAGGGTGCTTTCGTTTAAACTTAGGGGTGGAAATGTGTAGAATGATACTGTCACTTATATGATGCCCAGGGCTCTTGCTAACGACAGTCATAATCTTGTACTTTTTGCCTCGATAAATTCGTGGGCTTGTTCTGATGATGTCAGACAAATGAAATTGATCTCAACAACGCAAACTGCTAGAGTTCAACTGCATTATACACTCGGCCACTAATGGGCAATGTTTAGTGATCTAATATGAGAAGACAACGTCACTAAATCATAGAAACATTTTTTAGTTTAGTAACATTAGAGCTGGCTGCAGGCATACGTGACAGAGGCAGTCGCTTAAGGCGCCGATTAAGAAAGGGCGTCATGAAGTTGTTCTCATAAGCAACAGTTAAACAAACGTGACGTCACTTTTAATTATCAATATGGTTAAAGCTTTACATTATGGTAACTTGGCGATTTTTTGGCGAAAATGTGGCGACCAACCCTGCTATAGCAACCTGCTAGTTTTGTTCTGGACGCCATTTTCTTTTCACAAAGTACAGACAAGTTTTTTTTTTTTTTTTTTTTTTTTTTACTCAACAATTTTTCCAACTATCTGTTAGCCGAATTATGCTTATACTAGAACTTTTATGGAACAAAAATGCTTAATCATGACGAAGATTAGGTGCGAAATTGGGAGAAAGTGCAGAATCGCAAACTGCTTGTCACGTTTTTAAGAATTGCACACACACGGTATCCATGTACACGTCGACCTATTTTCACTTAAAAAAACATCCCCGAATTGCACAAAAATGGCATTGCGCACACTCTGGACTTTATCTATGTACACATCGACCGATTTTCACTTAAAATGTCAAAGAAAATGGACAAAAACCCAATTCTTCTTACTCTTGTAAAAAGCGCCAAACAAATAAGTGGACGATTCTGCACTTTAGCAGCGAAATTGTTTCTAAGTGCTTATTAGCTAAAATCACGATCGGAATTTTCCGGAAAATGTCACATGTCATGTCTCATAATCTCTCATTTCTCTGAGACAAAATAATCTGTGATTCAAACTGTGTACTTCTCAGATTATTGCTAAAGTCCTAGCTAGTAACCTTTATTGCCTTACCAAAATGTCGCCAAACTACCTGTTACCATATTCTAAAGATTAGCCCAATATGTTTATAATACGAACTGTATTGGTTACTACGTTTATAAGGAATTTTGTCCGATTTCTTAGCATGCCTTCGTGGTGTAGTGGTCAGCACAATAGGCGCATATTCGATAGATCCAAGGTTCGAGTCCTGAAGAGGGCATTGCTCGTTTTCCACACTGTTTCGAAATAACCTAATATCTATATAATGGCGCCCGAACTAAAAAAAGGGGGTGGATGATGATTCTCCACCACCAGGATTTAGCGACTGGGTCCCCTAATTCCCAATCGCCCTTTAAAAGGATGAGTATATAAGATATTTCTCCCGCCTTCTTATCGTGCCTTCCTAGTGTAGTGGTCAGCACGCTGGGACCGCATTCGAGAGGTCCGTGGTTCGATTCCCGGCGAAGGTATTGCCCATTTTTCACATCTCCTGCTTCAGAAAAGGCTAATGTCTCTACAAGCTAATGGAATTTAAATAAAGAAAGTAGTAAATGTGCATTTCTCAAAAATATGTTCATAATTGTTTGTTTTAAAATTTGAAGCAACTTCAAATTTACTCACCTAAAATTATTTTCATTTTCTGCTATCCGATAAAAGGTGTATGGAACTTAATTTCGATTGGAATATAAATGAGTGGTATTACCTACATCAGGAAACTGCGAGTGATTTCTTAAATTTGTCTCGAATCTATTTTCGATCTCAAACATATTTTTCTAACCCCAATTTAGGCAATTTGTGATTTAAAATGCACGTGAGAGTTTGCGTAATGAAACAGCTTTGCTAGAGTAAGTTTAATTACGTAATTCTCTCAAGATATCTTCAAGTTTACTACCATTTAACAAGCGAGCCAGAAAACCTGCAATGACCGAAATTCGTCGGATATCAATAGATTTCTTTTCTGATTAATCATTTTATTTAAATTTGATTTGATTTTAAAAGCAGCATTTTGAAATATTTATATTTTTTGGATTGCGTACTACACTGGATACGGAGATTGAAAAATTGATAAAGTCTATGTTAGGACAAATTTTTAAAGGTTAAGGTTAGAAAAAAATATATATACGGCATATTTTAAAACAAAGCAAGTGCTGCGTAAAGTATATTGTGTAGTTAATTTCGTTTTTTAAAATAGCTGTGAGGAAAAGATTTAGTTTTGCAATATGTAAGTCAGAAGCTAAAATGGTGAAGAAAGATTTCCATCAGGAGTCAGATTAAGAAGATAGATTAAATAGACTCTGCGCAGAAACAATATTGAAAACTAATATTTGCCCGGAGCATTGTGCATATTTTTCAAGGAAACTGAATCATATTATCGAGAAAAACGTTTGCAACATATTGTGACTTTCAATCCGAAGATTACAGCAAGGAAAAGTTAGCTTCGTTTTTAGGCTAAACACAATGGGCAAAAATTAAAAGAAATAAACTACAACCCTCATATAACAACCCTGATTTAACGCGAACCTGGATTTAGCGATGAAATCGAAAATAGTACTTAGTTGGTACAATGTTAAGTCTATGAGAGCAAACCTCGCTTTTAACGAGCGCAGGAATATATCCTTTAATGCGCAGCTTATTTACATGTGTCAGTTTGAAAGAAGAATAAATTGAAAAGTAACAGATGATATTTCTCATTCTACATACTAAGCTGTTGCCAGAAATGTTTATTCCAAAAGATTTGCTTTTTTAATATTATTTATCAAAATTGTTCTAAAAATGTGTAAGCGCCTTTAATTCTTCAGAGTAAAAAATACATGTTTTTTGGTAAATGCATAAGGGTCATAACATAATCTTTAAAGGGTTCATTCCAAAGAAGGCAGAAAATAAAACATTATAAAAATAATGAAAGGGGAAAAAGGGAATTTATTCATTTACATCATTAATCCATATGTGGCCCACTTCCCTTTATTTCAGTAAAATATTCAGAAACTTTAATAATTCAAGAATAGTCCATGGGCAATAAGAAATAGTTTAATGTTTATATGACAGTTTCGTTTATCTTGTCAAGTCTTAAACTGCAAATGTAGCGATTTCTTTTCTTTCTTGTTAGTTATCATTCGTTCTTTTACGAATATACGAATGTTATTTCCTAAGCCTTGTTTAGAAAGCAAGAAAGCTGCATATCTTGGCATTTAAAAATTGACAAAAATCAAATTCTTCTTACTCTTGTAAAAAGTGCCAAACAAATAAGTGGGCGATTCTGCACTTTAGCAGCGAAATTGTTTCTAAGTGCTTATTAACTAAAATCACGATCGGAATTTTCCGGAAAATGTCACATGACATGTCTCATGATCTCTCATTTCTCTGAGACAAAATTATCTGTGATTCGAACTGTGTACTTCTCAGATTATTATAAGTTAACTTTCCGGTAATACATCTTGTAATATTTTTAAAGCAATTTGCGGTTTGCGATCCTCATTTAACGAAGAAATATGAATTGATTGTTACTCAAATCACTGAACACTAATACTAATAATAAATAATTATTAAGTAAAATTCTATGAGAAAAATGTTTTAAGTTTTGATTAAAGCAATTATTTTTCATTTAAGATGTAGAGACATTAAGATTTTTTGGAAGCAAGAGAGATTAAAAAATTAGCAACGTCTTCGCCGGGAATCGAACCACAGACCTTTGGAATACCGGCCCAGCGTGCAGAACCACTACACCACGAAGGCACGCTAGAAAGGTGGGAGAAATACCTATCATCCCCTTTAAAGGGCGACTGAGGTATTTAGGGAATCCAATCGCCAAGTCCTGGGTGTGCAGAAACCTCATCTAACACCTTTTTAGCTCGGGCGCCACTGTAGAGACATTAGGAGTTTTTTTTTGAGGCCGGAGAGATGAAAAATTAGTAACGGCTTAGCCAGGAATCGAACTACGGGCCTCTGGAATACCGGCCCAGTGTCCAGAACCACTACACCACGAAGGCACGCTAGGAAAGTGGGAGAAATAGCTTATAAAGAAAGTTAAATTTATTGTAATGGGTAAAGATTTAGGCTATTATTAAAAAGTGTTTTTATTAAACTACTCAAATATGGAAAAACCCTTATGAAATCTCCATTCAGTTCTGCCCAGATTATTATGTGTTGAAAAGTTGAATAGATAAAAACGGAAACGGTATGGACACATTCTTTTATCGAAATTGTGTAGTAAAGAGATAAAAGTTATGAATGAAGCAACAAATGAAAGGAAGTATATTTTTATTTCACAGATTATAAAACACAGATTTGAGAGAAAGAAATTTAGCATTCCTCTCATCAAATCTGATACTGTTTTGGTTATCCAGTTTCAACCAGTTTTCATATATCTTTTCCCTCCCCCAACCACTTTTATTGTTATGAAAGAAAACATAATACCCCATATTGTGTTACTGATACATCATTTACTTCATCTGCTTCACACGATTTGCTTTTGCAATCTTTCTTTATAAAATTGGGAGCAAATTTCAGAACGCGTTTGAAAGTCATCTTTTGACGAGACGAGTGAAGAGTGAATGTTTACAAGGTCGCGCAACCCAACGGGAGGAGAGAAAAATTTCACTCCGTGATGCTTGACCATGCGTTAAAAGCGCAAACGCGGTTTTTTATTCAGATAGCTCGGTCGGGACAATTGCTGCGGACACTGCGGAAAGAATAGAATTTCCAAACCTTAAAAAGAAGATTAACTCAATATTTTTTCGAAAAGAAAACTGATATTTGCTTCAACTGTGATTATACTTGCAACGAATATTTTAATTATTTCAAATTAATATTTTTCGTTTTATTAATTTCAGAGACGAGCTCGCATGTTACGAAAAATGGCTTTCCTGTACGGGAGGTGAAGACTTGATCTTCCAACGAGGTGAAGACCTACTTTTTATTTAAACCGAAGATCGCAATCATAAAATTTAAAGTGTGATATTGCTGAAGTTTTGACCAACCATACGATATGGAATTCGAAGATATACTTTTAGAAGTTGGTGACTATGGAAAATACCAAAGAAACTTGTTTTTGATCTTCCTTGTGCCCGCAGCATCCTTGCTTCCATGGTTTTCCATGAATATTTTGTTCATGGTGTCTGCTCCTGACCACTGGTGTTATGTACCAGAAGTAGCCGCATCTAATTTAAGCATCTCTGACCAAAGATCTTTAATAAGTCCGCCAGACAGTCCATCTTGTTATATGTATGATATTAATTACACAGAATACCTATCTGCTGGTATCTACAAAGTGCCCAATGATACCACAACAAGGCCCTGCAATCGAGGCTGGCAGTATGATAAAACCGATTTTGAATCTACAGCTGTCACTCAGGTAAGAGTTTTTTTAATGTTACTTAAAATGTGTGCTTCTAGTGTCGGAAGCCATTCTTAAACTAAAGCAGCTATGGTTGGTACAGTGCCAAAAATATGAATCTGCATTTTTAACTCTTTTCGTCAAAACGCTTTTTCTAGACTATTTTCAAAGTTTCTCGAAAAAGAGAAATAAATTTGCCTCTAAAGAAATAAAATTATTTTGTAAATTTTATAAAGAATTTGTAAAATCTTTATTACACTGGAATACCTACTTTAAATGAAGAAAAGAAGCAGATTCTTAGTTTTGGAATGGTACTAACGATGTTACTAATTTATGATTTTTCAGAAGATTTGATGATGTCATTATAGGTGAATGTTATTTAACGACGAATGAAATTACATTAATAATAATATATACTTTTGATTTACGGGTCAATTTGGTTGAGTACAGAAAAACTGAATACAACTATTGAACTGTGCACTTGCTGCATAGTATGTTTGTTGTTTTCATATAATAGATTCATCTATTAGTTTATATTAATTAAAATTTTTAGTGTTGTTTCATCTAATATATTCATCGTAATATATTTATTATAATAAATTTCAAATTTTTCAATGTTGCTTCTAACATATCATATAGTTAACTCAACCTTCGTGAATGAAAAAAAAAAAAACAGACTACCATTCTTGTTCGTAAAGTATTAACAGAACATTAAATGGTTGTATTATGTCTGCTGGTTTTCTTTAGTTACCGGCTAGAATTCTTTAGAAGATACTTTAATGTTAGACCTTACTAAGTAAAATTTTGATTTTTTGTGAATGAGAAAGAGTTTAGCAGTTTGCTTTCTTTATTTATTCATTCATTTCACATTTTTACCCTCACCCGTTAGTCAGAACTAACAGTCATTATTATGCTGTGATTCAGTATTTCTGTTACGAAAGCCTAAACGTAAGAATGGTTTAGTCTTGAGCCAGAATATTAGTCACAATCAGCTGAAAGGTCACAGCATAAGAAATACATTACATCTTTAGTATATTCATAGTTATTTTATTTCGGTAACATCAAGTTTTCACTTTAAGTTTTAATTAACATGAAATCAAAGGCTAAATCAATTAATAAGAAAAATTTAAAAACTGAGCCAGGTAATACATTATCGATACGAACGTCCTTTATAAAACTGCTTTTTGAATAAATATTTTAGCTAAACTTAAATTTAACAGTATTAATAAGTATTGTATTAACAGTATTGTATTATGTGTATTTCAATTTACATATTGTCTTAGTGTATTCAATTTACATATTGTCTTAGTGTATTCAATTTACATATTGTCTTAGTGCACTTACTACCTGTTAGTTGGTAAGTGCGTTGTGTTATGTTTTCAGATTAAGTTTGCGGTATAATAGCAAATACATATATAGAGCTCTCGGCTAGTACCATGAAATATTGTGTCCAAATGTTTTTGTAACATTTCAGTATTGTGCAAAATGCAAACAGCTTCTAACAAATATTCGTGGCCACGAACCAACTTTCTGATAAGCCAGTATATTGATTGTTATTTTGTATTTGTTCGCCATTTTATTTCAGTGTATGTACGTATTCCATAAAGTTCTTGTATATTTTTTTTCTATTATTGGATGTAATAGTTTAGGGTTATAACGATAAGTAAGTGTGATGTATAATAGTAGTATTGAACCAGACTTTCTTGGTGTAGAACTTTCGTAAATATGTATTGGAATTTTTGCTGGATTTAATGTTTTGAATGACTCGTATTCCTAATCGCTACAATATACTTCCTAATTTCACTGTTGTTTTCCAAAGGTTATTGTCTAGTCTTTTGATTAGTTTTAGCGTTACAGTACAGCATCATGTACGGATTGTCTACTTTTCTGATACGAGCAGGTATATGTCGTTTATTTGTAGATCAGCTTTATGTCGTGTGGTTTTTTTCTGATACGCAGTGTATATGGTGTTTATATTTTATATCAGTTTTTACTATTAGTGTGTTGTTCAGTATTATGTATATGCATAATATGTTTTCATTTCTGTGCGGAATTAATAAAGTGTATAATAGTAATCGTGGATGTAAATCTGCAGGCTTGAAATTCCATTTTGTCTTAAATTTTACTGTTTTTGTTTACTTTACCATTTTTGTATCATCAGCGTTGTAGCAAAGTATTTTTTTTATTATGCTAATCAGGAATGTCATATGTATTCAAGGTGCCTTTTATTCCTATCTAGATGTACTCTGTAATCTTTTTTTTTTTTATTTAGACTTAATAATGTCTGCAGCGGACATCATACTGCAAGGGCTTGTTCCCGGTCAGAAGTCCTCCTTAGCAGCGTAAAAGTAAAAAAAAAGTATTAATAAGTATATTTTTAATACCTTAAACGGTGCTATGATTTCAGGTTTAGCTGACACTTCATTCCAAATTAATTTGATAATTTAGTTTATGAATTTATTACTGAAAAGAATCGAAAACAAGTATCTTTGTAGCACAAAATAGGCAATTGTAACCGCTTCCCAAAATAATTAAACATTTCTTTTATTGTAAGACATACGTATTCATATTTATATGCATAATGTAAAATATATAAAAATCGTGACGATTCGGAATTCTGTAAATCATTTTATGCTGAAATATAAACCATTATTACTAATACAAATTTTCCAATTTAAGGATTTAAGAACTCTAAATTTGCATTTGAATTTTAAAACATATTTCACTTTGAACTATGAATCCACGTATGTTTATTAATCCTTCACTAATGATATTATCTTTTTCTATAAGTCTTCTTCAAGCCCATAGTCTTTCACTATGGGCTATAAATCTAGAATTTATTAAGTAAAGCTTTTCTCTAATACCTGGGAAATTGAATGCGACTTGCAAAAAATCCTTCCATAACTACAATAATTTGTACATAAGTTTCGAATCATTCTTCTCTGCAAGCTATGTATCAGTTCGTAAAAACGCTTTATTTATTTCCGGTTTTGAACAAATGCATTAACGCCGTAAAATCCTTTCCGATGAAGACTCTGAAACCGTTTGTGCTCCGTAAAATTCTTCATTAAGGTTTATGAACTCGTACATGAATCCGTAATATCGTTCGTTATGGTTTATGAACTTGAATTCATGTGCAATAATTAATTATGAGCTGTACGGATTACATATTGTACACGCATTTGCTACTTTACATCGGTTCGTTTCTTCATGTTTGCTTGCTAAGAGGTATAAACATTCATTTTTACTTCGACCACTTGCGAAATGTTTTGCTTTCGCTAATATTCTTTTTGCTTTTACTGCGCATTTAATAATAAGTTTAATTATAAATCTGACAGATATTTTAAGATTATTAATGCAGTAATTAGTTATTTTCTGCCATTAGGTATTTGATTTTTAATAATAGTGAAGTTCAGTATCTGTAATAATTTTAATGCTAAATTAAATTTGTGATTTTATCAAAGTGTTTGCTGCTCAGTTTTCAAATTATTCCAAATATAATTCATATATTTTACATCGAAATTAAAAAAATTTCCACAGTGTATTTTTTTTTTTTTTTTTTTTTTTTTTTTTTTTTTTTTTTTTTGTTTTTTGTTTTAATGCGTCCTGAAAGAGTTAAATAAAGTGAAAAATGAAGAACAACAAAGTAATAAAAGAAGTTCCAATTAATCGAAGGAACAGACGACGTCTACGACTAACTTAAAATTGCGTTTAATGTTGAGGAATTTAAAATTGCATTAAAAACAAACTAAGACAGCGACATTGTTATGTATAAATTAAATTCAAATTTATTTATTCGTTTATTCCCTTGTGATTTTCAAAACACTACGAATACAATTTTAAATCTATATTGTTGTAAATGGATAAATGGTAATCGTTGTATATAGAAATAAAAGATATACTCTGTTGTTTATAGAAATAAAAGATATACTCTGTTGTTTATGGAAATAAAAGATATACCCTGCTGTTTATGGAAATAAAAGATATACTCTGAAAATAATCTCTAAAGGGTTACGGTATATGTTGGTCTGCAAGAATCACATGGCATGATATGAAGTTAGGCCAGTACCTCCGTTGAACCAATGGTAATTGAGGTATCTCTGAACCTAACTAAATAAATGAGACTCAACCGCTAGGCATTATACGAGAGGCGGGTGCCGATCATTGCACCCTGGGCACCCCCCCCCTCCAGCGTCCTGCGAAATCCAAGCACATGTATTACCAAAAGCCACAACATACTCATCGAAACTACTGTAGATTACGGCTTGGTGGAGATAGGGAAGAAAAAGTGTTGATGGTCGCGTTGCCAAACTCTGTTTCTCTAATATATGCTGCATCACTTTTAATTTTAAAACCCTTTCTGACAAAGCTGATGGAAAAAATAGAACTGCAGAATAGATTTAACATAAAAATAACGTATTAATAATATAATTAAAAACTTTGTTCGCAAAAGCTCTGAAATATCTTTAAGTTCTGACTGAAAAATTACCAACCTTACAATTATTCATATTAAAGCGATTAGGACTGATATAAATACATTTACGTCGATACACATACTCCTTAGTCTTCGTTTCCCTCTTACTTTCTATTCTAAACGAAGTACACGCGAGACAGTAGGAGACCCCAATTCTTAGGAAAAGGAATACACATTAAGCATATCTTGGGAAGTAATAATATAATCGCTTTGGATACTAGGCAGGATAGGACAATGATTGAAAGCTTTTCCTTCCCAACTATCAAATGCCAACAGGTAACTGAAGAAGTTTATTCAAGTTATTTAACTTTTAGGTTTATTTAACTTTTAAGGTTTACTTAACTTTTTTCAATTTCTATTCATGAAAGTTTATTGTGCCAAAATTTCTCCGGACTGACAATTACAAACATAAAGCATTCAAAAAAACTTGTTTTAATATAAATTACGTCTTCACCTCTAGGCACTACACGAAAAGGGAGGGATGTCCCGCGAAGGACTTTTTAAAGGAACTTGGTTCGCATCTGCGTTACACATATGGAAAACC